ACACTCACACACACACACACTCTCGCACACACTCACACACACGCACGCACACACATACACTTACACACACACACATACATACGCACACACACACACACACACTCGCACACACTCACACACACACACTCGCACAAACTCACACACACGCACGCACACACATACACTCATACATACACACACACACACTCTCGCACACACTCACACACACGCACGCACACACATACACTTACACACACACACATACATACGCACACACACACACACACACTCGCACACACTCACACACACTCTCGCACACACTCACACACACGCACGCACACACATACACTCATACATACACACACACACTCTCGCACACACTCACACACACACACGCACACACATACACTTACACACACACATACATACGCACACACACACACACACACTCGCACACACTCACACACACTCTCGCACACACTCACACACACGCACGCACACACATACACTTACACACACACACATACATACGCACACACACATACACACACTCGCACACACACCCACACACGCACGCATACACATACACTTACAGACACACACATACATACGCACACACACACACACTCGCACACACTCACACACACGCACGCACACACATACACTCACACACACACGCATACTTACGCACACACACACACACACACTCGCACGTACCTCCTGTAGTGCAACCATTCGCTTTGGTCCATCCTCGCTTGGTGCCTCCGATGCTTGGAGCACGCGTAGCATGTGCATTCGCACATCGTGCTTCACAATTTGAGGGATAGGATCTCTCTTGTTGCCTGCACGGTACGCTCGCTTCACGAGAGGTTGATGGAGATACTCGTACATGTTGGCGCTGTAATGCATCGGCACCCCCGATCGAATGATGTCCTCCACCACGTGTGCCAATGAATGCACTTTGGTGATGTCAAACTCAGACTTCTGAAGGCCTGCAAAGACTTCCTTCAAGAGCGGAATCAACCTGTTGGTGGGTATGGCACACATGAAGAACATTGAAGAGACAAAACTCAATGGGCACGAAAAAAATAGTAACACGAGACGTCGCAACACATTGGCAAGCATGGAATGCAAGGTATGAGAGACATCGAACAAGAAAGAGAACAACACAAGCAACCATGCACAGTTGAGAAAGATGCTTACCTCTTGATGGCCTCATCAAGCTCTTGTAGCGTCTTCGAGGTATGATACCAACGCCGGGCTGCGAGCATGTAGCAATCCACGAATGCTGCCACCGCACCAACCACCGAGTTCGGCACGCCGCAATTTGCAAGCACGATCGTGATCACTTGCATCACTGCGCGATGCTCAAACGCCTGAAACCGTGCAGCACCCGCAAAGTAACCACCCTTCTCGGAAGATGGGATACGGAAACCCGAGATTCGGGTGTCGGTCGCAATGCGCTGCAACTCGGTGTCGAGGGAACGCAGAAAGTCGCGATCTCGTGCGTAATACGCTCGAATGCAGGAAACGATGTGCAAGAAGACACCAAGGTCCATCGCGTGCATCACCTCGACAAGTAAGGCTCGGTATGGATTGCCGACAGGGGTACGTCCGCCTCTGAAGCCCCACAAGGCTACCTGCGCGGGGGCGAGTAAGTGAAAAAATGTTAGCACACACTTAATTTAACCCATACAACCAAGACAGAGAAACGCATGCACGCAGATTCTTAGAATAACGACACACGAACTAAAGAGGCACGAACAGACGCGCGTACACACACAAATACGCACGCAAAACGTATGGACGCACTCGCAAACCATACGTACCTTGATGGGATGGGTGCTGATTGATTTTGATGCCTTGTTCCGCTCGGGCCCACTCGGCAACGCCAACAACGCCTCAACTTTATCGCCCTGATCGACTTCCGTGCGATATTCGACCACCGCCTCCATGTTGCTTATGTCTTCACGTTTCACGAGACACCTGTGGCACGGGAACATCGCCTTGTGACTTGCAAACGTCCCCGCCAGCTTGCACGCTTCCGGGTGATCAGCCACATATGCGTAGACAGCGGGAAATACCACTTGCGTCTGCCCAAAAGGGTCTTCTATTACAATGCCACTATGTAGGTAGAAAAGGGTGATGAACATAGGAAAGATACAATTATAAGGGGAGGGGAAGTGGATTTGCACATGAGGTGAGCAAGAAAAAACTCATCGTAGCGATAAAGCATACTTGCAACACACACACCCACACCCAGTAGAATGAAAAGCACTCACCCGCACACTCAATAGACACTCACTCGTAAGATGCCTCTTTGAGCTCTTTAAGAACCACATCCAAAGCCAGTTGGAATACCTCCCGATGAAGCGCCTTCCCCTCGTCCGTCCTCGAGTCCACGTTCGGAAGTGGCGGAAGCATAGCAACCATCCGATGCCCGTGTGGTTGCCAACGATTCTTGAGCGTGACGTTTCCAAGTGTGAAATATACCGGATGTCCCGTAACACGCCCATCGTTGCTCAAGTTTGTCCCGTCGCTGTACAGGATGCACGCTGCAATTACACCACCCCTCGGGCATTCTTCTTGCATCTTAATCCATCCATCTCCCGTCTCGGGCCCCGCGTATATCCGCTGCTTCTTGTCGGACGTGTAGACTGCTGCCGGTTTCACCACAAAGCCGTCTCTGTTCGCGTTGTCCGAATACATCGCCACCAATGCTTCGACTATGGAGGTTACGTGCACAGTAGCTTTCATGCCGTTGCTCAACTCCACCTTGACAGCTCTCCATTCCACCGTGCCCGTAGCCTCCGCAAGTAAAGACTTTTCGTACTTTGCCAAGCCAACACTGTTCTTGTATGATGGCTTCATGTAACCGGCCTCGTGCAAAACGCTCAGTAGAGTATTAATGTCAGTTGCCGACATCCCCATGCCTCCATTAAAACCTCGAATCGCCTTCGCCAAAGCCAGGTCTGTGTCAAATGGGAGCATCTGTGGACTAAGATCTGCCGTTGCATCCGTTGTTGAGAATTCTATGTCATCACCGTCGCCGTCGCTGTCATCCGACGTCGGAAAGTCAAACGGGGGAGGGTTCACACTGGTTTGTGCAGATGGTGCTCCGCTAGTGGTCAAAGGCGGACTTGCTGCGGCACGCGGAGCAACTCGTGCACGCAGCAGCCGGTTCACGTCATTAGCTCGTTTGCGCTTCAAACCCTCTAGAATCCGTACATTTGCACTCTCTGACGCAGTTGGGCGGTTTCTACAAAACAGTTTGTGATTAATTAAGCCCTGTCCAGTAGCGCAGGTGAATCCACAGGCACATGTAAACTCCATTATCAAAAATAGGGATACAATGATCTATAGCACCCTGTGGTGCAAGCTTGGAGAACAACTACAATAGTGAAAAATAACAAGCCATTTCTAACATATATGGTCTTCAACAACATCCCCTGGACCTGCATGCAAAGGCCACAGAACACAAACGGTCATGGCCCTCAGTGGCAAGAGGGGGCAAATCTGTGGCTCTAAAACAAACATGGCAAAAAAAAGCCACAAAACACTAAAAACGGTACTGACCCCACTAATCCCTCAAGCCGCGGCACGTTCGCGCAATATACCACGCGTCGGCACGCGACGCATCCGATGGTACGGCGACGAAGTCGCTATTTCTGACAGGCCGACCCTAAAACTAATGAACCCGAAACCAAAACGGAATTACCATCGCGGCCCGCGGATCTGCAACAGCGGGACGCAACTGTGAAAGTGTACGCCTTGTCGGCACGCCGCGCATGCACTGGTGTGTCGTCGAAATCGCGTTTCGGGACCTGGGCGTCCCTAAAATTAGTACATCTAAAAAATTGAGCTCGGCCCGCGCCCACGATCTACCCTAAGCTGGACAAGCACCCGTCTGGCATGCGGTACGAGGCAAAGAATGGATGGCGAGGCGTCGTTTCCTAAAAAAAAAAACTGCCAAACTCGGGTAAAACGGGCGGTTCCAGCGAGTTTAGCGGGTTCCTCGGAGGCGCCATGGCGGGCTACTTATTTACCACAACGATAATAATGTGCACTTCGAGTGAGGAGGGAAATGAAGGGGTTGGAGGGGAACGGCCGCATGATGCAGGCACCGATAAAAATTGCGCAAAAACGTTCTCAACCGCGTTCCACACCCTTCGGCCCTAACTGCCACGGCGACAAAGCAAAAAGTTACGTGCCGTTTTCGCACGTAACATGGTGTGCGACACCGTCATCATTCTGGTCCAGATGGATGTTTCGCGCGCTGAAAATGAGCCGTCCGAAGGGATCATTCACCTGGTTACCGCTACGGTCATTCGCCAACGGTAAAAGTTATGGTAACCGTAGGCGTACGCGTTTTCATTTCTTCATGCAAAATTACAAGCGATTCGCATAACATTGACGTGTTCATATTCAGTCTTCACCATTTTTTTACAATATTACTTCAGCGCGGAGTTCTACACACCACCGCACCGAATTTCACCGAGCGGTGTTCATCGACCCAACGGGATGAGTTTTGCACCAATTGCCCGCTAACTGCTCCGTGACTGCACGAATCGAAATTAGGGTAACTGCGGGAGATCGCAGGCAGCTCGGAAACAGAGGGCAATTAGAAAAAAACACCGCAAGCAAACTGCAGGGATGCGATATCGCCAAGCTTACCGCCGGCTGTTTCCCGGCGAACACCTGCAGAGTTGCGATGTGCCGTTAACTCTCGCAATTTCCACCTGTCCGTCATACCAGCTCTGCTCGCGTCGCGAGCCGCACAAACAGCAGCGTTTTCCGCAATTCCCCGCCAAGGGTCACTAGATATCCGTATTTCTGGCAAAATATGGCAAGCGGCGTTTATTATACTACCATTTAATAGCAGAATCCTCTAAATGGTACCCGGAAGCCGATAATCGACAGGCTGATGGAGTCCGAATCGCGAGCCAATGAGATGAATCCACGTGGATACGAGGCTGCTCTAGCGGAACTCTCCGGTCCGATTAGTCCGCAGAAGCGCGCCGATGGCCGAAACTGGGCGGATGATTTCGCCCTCATGCGCTTACGTGAAGGTTGGACTGTGGCTCTCTCAAGCTAAGGTCTGGCAACTCTCAAAAGCTAATGTCTGCTCTCTCAAGCTAAGATTGCTCTGGGGAATCTTTCTAAGTCAGGCGGGCCACGACAGGCGCCATCTTAGTGTCAGGTCTCTGGTGTAATTCTAATCTAATGAGTGATTTCGGCATGACAATTCCAGCTTTTTTTTTTTCCCCTCCCAGTTATCTGTTTTTTCGTGGAGCTGAAATCCGTTATTCGTTTATCTGTTCTTGTTCTCAGGTTCTGGACCTGGAGGGACCAGTTGACCAGCTCAGCATCATCCACGTGGCAGGCACCGAAGGCACCAAAGGCACCAAAGGCACCAAAGGCAAGGCAAGAAACCAACACGGCGGACCGTTGCACTTCACTCGCGTCGTGGTTCACCTGGCTCCCCTCAGCCAGGTGCGAGTTGGCTTTTGAGTCGACTCAAAATTCAACTAGTGTTGCTGCAGGGTGTTTTTGAGAATTCTCAAAAACACCCGTCAACTAGTGTTGCGTGCTCCGCGCAGCCAGGTGCGCCAGACAGCACCCGGGCCAGGTGCTGTCTCCTCGTTCCTTCTTTCCCTCCTCCTCTCATCTCCATGCTCCCCACCCCCCACTGGGATCCACGTGCGCCATGGCGGAGAGCATGCTGAGGAGGGCCAGCGGCCACACCGCCGGATGGCAATTCTGCTCGTCATCTCTTTCTCTTGTCCCCTGCCCTCGTCCATGCTCCCCCTCTCTCCCCAGCAGGGGTCCACGTGCGCCATGGCGGAGAGCATGCTGAGGGCCAGCGGCCACACCACGGGGCTCTTCACCTCGCCTCACCTCGTGGACGTCCGAGAGCGCTTCCGCCTCAATGGGTGCGTGAGGGCAGGGAGAGTTGAATGGGGGTGGTTCCGCCTTAATGGTTCCGCCTTAATGGTTCCGCCTTAATGGTTCCGCCTTAATGGTTCCGCCTTAATGGTTCCGCCTCAACGGGTGAGAGGTGCAGGGGGAGTGGTGAAGCTCAATCGACATCCGAGAGCACTTCTTGCCTCACCTCGTGGACGTCCGAGAGCACTTCTTGCCTCACCTCGTGGACGTCCGAGAGCACTTCTTGCCTCACCTCGTGGACGTCCGAGAGCACTTCTTGCCTCACCTCGTGGACGTCCGAGAGCACTTCTTGCCTCACCTCGTGGACGTCCGAGAGCACTTCTTGCCTCACCTCGTGGACGTCCGAGAGCACTTCTTGCCTCACCTCGTGGACGTCCGAGAGCACTTCTTGCCTCACCTCGTGGACGTCCGAGAGCACTTCTTGCCTCACCTCGTGGACGTCCGAGAGCACTTCTTGCCTCACCTCGTGGACGTCCGAGAGCACTTCTTGCCTCACCTCGTGGACGTCCGAGAGCACTTCTTGCCTCACCTCGTGGACGTCCGAGAGCACTTCTTGCCTCACCTCGTGGACGTCCGAGAGCACTTCTTGCCTCACCTCGTGGACGTCCGAGAGCACTTCTTGCCTCACCTCGTGGACGTCCGAGAGCACTTCTTGCCTCACCTCGTGGACGTCCGAGAGCACTTCTTGCCTCACCTCGTGGACGTCCGAGAGCACTTCTTGCCTCACCTCGTGGACGTCCGAGAGCACTTCTTGCCTCACCTCGTGGACGTCCGAGAGCACTTCTTGCCTCACCTCGTGGACGTCCGAGAGCACTTCTTGCCTCACCTCGTGGACGTCCGAGAGCACTTCTTGCCTCACCTCGTGGACGTCCGAGAGCACTTCTTGCCTCACCTCGTGGACGTCCGAGAGCACTTCTTGCCTCACCTCGTGGACGTCCGAGAGCACTTCTTGCCTCACCTCGTGGACGTCCGAGAGCACTTCTTGCCTCACCTCGTGGACGTCCGAGAGCACTTCTTGCCTCACCTCGTGGACGTCCGAGAGCACTTCTTGCCTCACCTCGTGGACGTCCGAGAGCACTTCTTGCCTCACCTCGTGGACGTCCGAGAGCACTTCTTGCCTCACCTCGTGGACGTCCGAGAGCACTTCTTGCCTCACCTCGTGGACGTCCGAGAGCACTTCTTGCCTCACCTCGTGGACGTCCGAGAGCACTTCTTGCCTCACCTCGTGGACGTCCGAGAGCACTTCTTGCCTCACCTCGTGGACGTCCGAGAGCACTTCTTGCCTCACCTCGTGGACGTCCGAGAGCACTTCTTGCCTCACCTCGTGGACGTCCGAGAGCACTTCTTGCCTCACCTCGTGGACGTCCGAGAGCACTTCTTGCCTCACCTCGTGGACGTCCGAGAGCACTTCTTGCCTCACCTCGTGGACGTCCGAGAGCACTTCTTGCCTCACCTCGTGGACGTCCGAGAGCACTTCTTGCCTCACCTCGTGGACGTCCGAGAGCACTTCTTGCCTCACCTCGTGGACGTCCGAGAGCACTTCTTGCCTCACCTCGTGGACGTCCGAGAGCACTTCTTGCCTCACCTCGTGGACGTCCGAGAGCGCTTCCGCCTCAACAGATCAGTGGTGCAGGGTGAGTGGTGCAGGAATATGCTCTGTGCCGTGCTTTTTCTTCAAAATTGCACCCTCTTTCTCTCCCTTGTTTCAAATCTTAAATCCGGATCTTATCCCCAGGGAGATGGTGTCAGTGGATACTTTTCTTCTTTCCCTGCCCGTCCCTGGCCAGGTCTCCCATTGTTCGTACCCCAGGGAGATGGTGTCAGTGGATACTTTTCTGGTGGTGCTATGACTGGTGCAATGGGCGAGGCAGGTGCAAGGGGCGAGGCAGGTGCAAGGGGCGAGGCAGGTACTTTATGCCTCTGGGCGTGTCCTGTTTCTACAAGAATGAGGTCTCCCCTCATTCCAATATCCTTTTCTTTCCCTCCCCTTGCATGTCGCACCTTAATGAGGTTCGACGCGGCCAATAGGACGTTGCCACCTCATTGCAACCTCTACCTGACTTCCCCTCTCATTCCCGTTTGTCTGATCGGCTTTCCTTGTCTTCTTCCCCCTTTCACCTTGTTCAGGACTTGGCCAATAAGACACTGCCACCTGCCTACATCACAGGGCTAGGAAGTGTTTCCTGGCCGGGCAGGTGCGAAATTTTCCATGACTGCCCAGTCGCGACTGGGCAGGAGGATGGAGGTGCAGACGGGCAGCTGACGTTTTTTTTTAGACAGTGCCCATACAGTGGAAAGCATGGAGGTGTGCGGAGAGTGTTTCTGCGATGCCAATCAGGGTGGAGGGGCAGATGGAGGGGCAGATGAAGGGGCAGATGGAGGGGCAGATGAAGGGGCAGATGGAGGGGCGGATAAAGGGGCAGATGGAGGGGAGGATGAAGGGGCTGATGGAGGGGCGGATGAAGGGACATATGGACGAATAAATGGTGGGCGAGGAGGCAAGGAGAGGGTGAAGGAATGGGCACAAGGAGCAGCAAGAGTGGGATTAGTCGCAGATACTGCAGCAGCAACAGAATAACAAGGGGTAGCAGCAGGGGTGCAAGAGTCAAGCCACGTGGAAGGCACGATACCTATGCGGGTAAGGCCCCGTGGATGCCAAGTGTAATAGTTTTCGGTCCGCTTACCTTGTGCGTCACTGCTCATGCTGCCACCACTCCCGCACCCACGTCCGCGGCTGCTGCTGTTCAACTGAAGACGCTTTCTTATGGCTTTTTTCACTCACGGTTCCCCCCTCGTCCAGTCAAGTGCTGACCCCCTCTCACTCTCATGCCTTGTGCTGCCACCTCTCCCTCTCCCACGTCCGCAGTTGCTGCTATTCAACTGAATTCGCTTTCTCACGACTTTTCTCACACGGATTTTCTCCTCGTTCGCTCTGACTGACATGCTTAGGCTCCATGTTCGCATGTGAGTCAACACATGTTCGCATGTGAGTCAACACATGTTCGCATGTGAGTCAACACATGTTCGCATGTGAGTCAAAACATGTTCGCATGTGAGTCAACACATGTTCGAATGTGAGTCAACACATGTTCGCATGTGAGTCAACACATGTTCGCATGTGAGTCAACACATGTTCGCATGTGAGTCAACACATGTTCGCATGTGAGTCAACACATGTTTCCTCTCACTGCCTGCTCTCACTGCCTGCTCTCACTGCTCATCACAGGTGTTGTTGTTCAACTGCATGACTAGAAGGGACCCACGCACACTGATGACACGGCTTCTCACGACACTTGAGCGCAGAGGTGTGTGAGAAAGCACTAAGGTACGGTACGGTTGGAGAGGGTGAATTTCTGCTGTTTCGACATCCATCTCTATCCATACACGGCTGCTCAGGACACTTGTGGGCAAAGGTGCGGCTGAAAACACTGAGGTGCATTTGAAATTCTCAGGTCTGTTTGAGAACACTTAGGTCCCTTCCTTCCCCGATCCCCTCCTTTCACATTCTCTTCCCTGCCCATTCCCTTCCTTTCCTAATCCCCTTCCTTTCCCATTTCCTTCCTTCCCCACTCCTTTCCCTTCCCATTCCCTTCCTTTCCCATTCCGTTCCTTTTCCTTTCACATTCTCTTTTCCATTCCCGTCCATCCCAATTCCCTTTCTTGCCCATTCCCTTCCTGCAGGACTGACCTTTCAAGCAGCCCTCTTTGTCCCCTCTCTCTCCTCCTACAACACGCTTCTTCCCCCCCCATCCACCTCCTCCCCGTCTCGTCTTCCCCCATCCCGCTCTCCTGGACCCTCCACTGAGATGTCGAGACAAAGTAGCAGCATTGGTACCGATGCTAGTGTGCCGGCCAAAGCAGCAGCGCTGGCACCAATGCTAGTGTGCCGAGGCAAAGCAGCTGTTTCGGCCAGAGCAACTTGGAATGGCAGCTGTCCATGCAAAGAATGTGCGAGCAGCTGCAGCAGCAGCCGCCACTGCATCTTGCTACTTCTTCTGCTGCTGCTGCCGCAGCCGCCGCCGCCGTTGCCGTTGCCGCCGCCGCCGCCGGGGCTGGTACTACCGCTCTCCGGACGCAGCTGCTGCTGCTGCTGCGAGGGCTGGTACTGCTGCTGCTCCTGCTCCATCTGTTGATCCTCCAGATGCTGCTGCTTATGGAGCTCGTGCTGTTGATTCTATTCCTGCTTCATTCCTTGTGCCTCACAAGCTCACTCGATTGGTGGCATCACCTGCACAAGCAGCATCACAAGCAGCAAGACAACCAGCAGCACAAGCATCATCACAAGCATCATAAAAAGCAGCAGCACAAGCAGCAGGAAGGAAAGTGGAGGATTCATCCTGGCCATCGATTTTCCAAGGAACGATGAGTTTGGGGCCTCACAGTGCTGTGCTGTCGTCACTGCCGGCAGCCACTGATTTGTCTGGGATGGGATGCATCCAGACGTCCATTTGCAGGTGTTGGTGGGAGACAGGGAGACAGGGTCACTGCACCTGGTGGGAGATGTGCTGCGTGCAGTGCGGTGCAAGTATGTGTACCGGTAGGTGGATCAAAAGGATCATTCCTAATATTGATCGAATAATCCAATTTCAGTCTCTTAAAAAACCCGATGTACGGTATCTGTTGGTGTTGTAAGTGCTTCATGAGTGGATCTGAGGGTCACGAATGTACACTGTGTTGGGCTGAAATAGAACAGACAGTTTTCTGGGGAAATAGAATGTACAGCAACAAAAGGCAATCAAACTCTTGGTCAAATTCAGATGGATGGACAATTTCATTAGATGTATAATGTTTCACACCCTTAGATTCTCTCGTTTCACACCATTTCCCATGTAACTTCAACTCACCCTTCTCCTTTTTGTAATAATGAAGAAGAAAAGAAAAGAAAAGAGAAAGGGAGAAGGAAAGTGAAACCGCCAAGAAGAACCCAAATGCAACACACATAAAACCCCCCCTCAAGATACCCAATCAAAACGCCCAGTCAAGACACCCTGTCAAGACATCCCATCCCACACCCCATTCCCCCCCCCCCCAATCACAACAGCGAATCCACCATGTACGGGGCCTCCACCCAGAGAGCCCCGCCTTCCGCATCGCCATCGTCCCACTCCCGGTCCACCAAGTCAACGTTAATCCCCCCCATAGAAGACGCCGCTCGAAGCAGGATGACACGGGCTTGCGCACGTTGCAACGCCACCCCGATGAGCGCCTTCAATGACCCTAGAAGATAAGCCGAAAACACAGTGTCGTCCTCCCGACAAGCCCCCCGCGACACAGCTAGCCCCACGTGCGCATCTCCCTGCTGACGAAGCCACCTCCGAAAGCGACCGCCGAGACACCCCCACGTCTCCACTATCAGAGGAGTGAACTGCACGCCCCGGTTGCGTGCAAGCAGAGGCGCGTAATCGCTCGTTTTACGACGCTCCCATTCTCTTGCCGCCACGCCTATTTGACGCCCGCACTGTCCTAGCAAAGATGGAGACAGCGATAGCGGGTCCGCGACGCTGATCTCCAGGGCGTGAGCCTCTCCAGCCATTGGTCGTCGCACCGCCACATCAACCCGCTTCCCCTGCAGCACCACACTATCCTCCATTGCCACCACCCCCCCAGACGCCTTAGAGATCTTCGCCACCGCAAACTTCACCTCATCATGTACCCGAGATGGACCATGCTGGTGCTTGCATCTCAGGGCATGATGCCGGTCTGCTGGGTCAACATATGCTGTGCCACAAACACACCTCCCCGCCACCTGCAGCTGCTGAATTGGGAGCCCGAGCCGTATAGCAGCAGCAATGCCCCACTCCGCCGCAGTGAATGTGAGATCTGAGTGAGCCGGAACCGCCGAAACCCATGCACCAGCCCCCGGGCCCTGAAGGGATGTGAAACGGGCCAGGGTGGCATCGTCACGAGCCGAGCGACGCAGTGTCTGGAGCTCCTCTACCGCCAACAACCGCTGCCGCGCCTGGAAAAGCCGAAGAGGAGGGGCCGCTACGCACAGAGGTAAGCCCGGCATCTCCTGGCGTATAGTCGCAGGCAGCTGCTCAAGAGCCTTGGCAAACCACGGGTCAAGAAACTCCGCCCCTGCCGAAGTGGTGAGGTACTCCGCAAACATCGCCTCCTCGCCCGCCACCCCCAACTGTGCAATATCATGCGCGGCCTGCGCCCACCCACAAACATAGGACAGCGGACTCAAAGAGGCTGCTGCCCGGATCCCAAACCCTCCGAGTCGCACAGGGAGATGCAGCTGCATGCGCGCGCGCCTAGACCGGTCGGGGTCATGCTCCCAAGTGGGAAAAGCTGCTCAAAGCAATCCTCCAGACAGCTATCCCAATCCCTGAAGGCCTCCACCACCTCCGGACGCGGCGGCATAGTCCGGGCCAGGTACATCGGCCGTGCTGAAACTGCAATGGCGAGGAGATGTGAAGCCATCTGGGGGTGGTCGAGCAGGGGGAGCCATGGCAATGGCGCCTGCAACTGTCTAAGCCGCTCCCGTAACCGGGTCACCTCCCAACCCTCCTCCCCAATAGGCACGCCCACCACAGTGAGACCCTCCTCCACCCGCTGCATCCCCAATGGCAGTGCCAGCTCCACATCCCCGCCCTCGCGCTCCCAAAACCGGCACTTGTGCGCCTGCACCTCCAGCCCCACCCATTCCAACCGCTCCCGCAGCACCCCAAACGCCTCTAGAATCCTAGCCGCCGGTCCCAGGATATAGGTATCGTCTGCGTAGCTCAGGAAAAGTAGGTCCCTGAACTCTCTAGTCACCGACTCCATCACCTGCTGCTGCGTGAACGCGAAAAGAAAAGGGCCGAGCGGGTCCCCCTGCCGCGATCCTCGTGCCGACTCAAGGCTCTGTACAAAAGGGCCCGCTCGGAGGTACAAATCGCTAGGTGTCCCGTAGAAAACACGTAAGAATGGGATCAACCCTGAGAAAGGCGACTCCCGCAGCCCCTCAAACATCGCATGACGGTGAAACGAATTGAAGGCGTTCGCGACATCTATCTGCAGCGCACACCAGTCGGGGTGAGTAGCCAACGCTGACCGGAAAGAATGGGTAAGAATCTCTACCCCGGCCCTAGTGCCCGCTCCCAGCTGGTTGCACGGCAGAAAGTAGGAAGCCATCGTAGGGCGGAGCGAGATGCAGAGAGCTCGAGCAAGGATACGCGGAAGCACTTCCCCAATCGCGACCGGCCGGACGTCGCCGTTAGGCTTGGAATGCCCAACTAGGTTGGATGCGGCGAGCCAGGGCCGAGCCCGCTCGGGGACCTGTCCCGCCACCCATTGGTTGAACACCTCCAACAGGTGGGAAAGGCAGGAAGGTTCAGTGAGGAAGGTGTCGCGCAGATGCTCCGTGACCCACCCCGATGGCCTTGCTGCTGAAGCGCGAGCGGCTGTATGGATAGTTCTGGCTAGGATGTCGGCCGTGAGTGGAGGCCGCTGAGGAGCATCGACGGTGAAATCACGGACCCACTGTGGTACCTCGCTAGTGCTAGCAGGGTGCTTCTCTCGCAGCGACTGCACCATGGCCTCAGACGGCCGGGCCAACTCCCCTGCTGTAAGGCAAGCCAATCCGCGGCTCCACTCTCCCACTTTACACCGAGATCGGCACCGTGACAGGCGGATGGCATCCGGGTCCTGGTCAGAGCAAGTGTAGGCAAGTGGGCGTATTGCTGGCCGCGCCGCCACCATGGCGGAGTCGAACAGCTCCCGCCACCTCCCCTCCCAAAACGCCCCCAACCGCTCTATGATCAGCGCCTTCTGTCCTATGCCTGGCTTGGGAGGCACGGCTAGGATGAGGCGCGGAAAAGCCAAGAGTAGGAGGGTAGCGGCTTCATCCCCCGGCCGGCTCTTCAAACGCTTTAAGACGCAACAGAGCGCGTCTAAGACCCCCGACCGAGCCCGCTGTGGGATCCGGCGCACTGTCCTCCCTCCAACCGCCTCCACACTGAAAAATGCTTCCCATTCCCAAGACGTAACCCCGGCCCACGCCTCGTCCCCAAATTCCCGCGGCGTCGGTCGCTCCTGCGTGTCGGTATCCACCACTGACGGGGTCGAGCCAAGTGCCTGCGCGCGCCTCTCCGCCTCAGCCGCCCGGCATACCCTCATGTGGTTCGCAGCAGCCCCTCGCGTAGCGAACGTGTGAAAACACGTGTCACACGGAAAACGAGGGCATGGGGAAGGCTGCATGGGAGGTTCTTCGTCCGCCTCTGACTCCTCCGCAGTCGCCATGGGGGTATCAAACTCCAAAAGTCGGCACCACTCCTCTAACTGCTGCTCCCGGTCGTCCAATGACTGCCCCCCTGGCTGCTGCTCTATCTGGGGTGCTCCGGTCACCCCCGGCTACCCCCCTGGCTGTAGCACTCCCAGGGGTGCTCCGGTCGCCCCCGGCTGCCCCCCTGGCTGTAGCACTCCCTGGGGTGCTCCAGTCACCCCCGGCTGCCCCCCTGTCTGTAGCACTCCCAGGGGTGCTCCGGTCACCCCCGGCTGCCCCCCTGGCTGCTGCTCTCTCTGGGGTGCTCCAATCGCCCCCAGCTGCTCCCCTGGCTGTAGCGCTCCCTGGGGTGCTCCTGTCACCCCCGACTGCCCCCCTGGCTGTAGCACTCCCAGGGGTGCTCCGGTCACCCCCGGCTGCCCCCCTGGCTGTAGCACTCCTTGGGGTGCTCCGGTCACCCCCGGCTGCCCCCCTGCCTGTAGCACTCCCAGGGGTGCTCCGGTCACCCCCAGCTGCTCCCCTCGCTGTAGCACTCCCAGGGGTGCTCCGGTCACCCCCGGCTGCCCCCCTGGCTGTAACACTCCCTGGGGTGCTCCGGTCACCCCCGGCTGCCCCCCTGGCTGTAGCACTCCGTGGGGTGCTTTGGTCACCCCCGGCTGCCCCCCTGGCTGCTGCTCTCCCTCGGGTGCTCCGGTCACTCCCGGCCGCCCCCCAGGCTGCTGTGTTCTCTGGGGTGCTCCGGTCACTCCCGGCTGCCCCCCAGGCTGCTGTGTTCTCTGGGGTGCTCCGATCACCCCCGACTGCCCCCCTGGCTGTAGCATTCCCAGGGGTGCTCCTGTCACCCCCAGCTGCTCCCCTAGCTGTAGCGCTCCCTGGGGTGCTCCGGTCACCCCCGGCCGCCCCTCTGGCTGTAGCACTCCCAGGGGTGCTCCGGTCACCCCCGGCTGCCCCCCTGGCTGTTGCACTCCCAGGGGTGCTCCAGTCACCCCCGGCTGCCCCCCTGGCTGCTGCTCTCTCTGGGGTGCTCCGATCGCCCCCAGCTGCTCCCTTGGCTGTAGCGCTCCCTGGTGTGCTCCTGTCACCCCCGGCTGCCCCCATGGCTGTAGCACTCCCAGGGGTGCTCCGATCACCCCCGGCTGCCCCCCTGGCTGTAGCACTCCCAGGGGTGCTCCGGTCACCCCCGGCTGGCCCCCTGGCTGTAGCACTCCCAGGGGTGCTCCAGTCACCCCCGGCTGCCCCCCTGGCCGTAGCACTCCCCGGGGTGCTCCGGTCACCCCCGGCCGCCCCCCTGGCTGAAGCACTCCCAGGGGTGCTCCGGTCACCCCCGGCTGCCCCCCTGGCTGCTGCTCTCTCTGGGGTGCTCCAATCGCCCCCAGCTGCTCCCCTGGCTGTAGCGCTCCCTGATGTGCTCCTGTCACCCCCGGCTGCCCCCCTGGCTGTAGCACTCCCCGGGGTGCTCCGGTCACCCCCGGCTGCCCCCCTGGCTGTAGCATTCCCAGGGGTGCTCCTGTCACCCCCAGCTGCTCCCCTAGCTGTAGCGCTCCCTGGGGTGCTCCGGTCGCCCCCGGCTGCCACCCTGGCTGTAGCACTCCCAGGGGTGCTCCGGTCACCCCCGGCTGCCCCCCTGGCTGTTGCACTCCCAGGGGTGCTCCAGTCACCCCCGGCTGCCCCCCTGGCTGCTGCTCTCTCTGGGGTGCTCCAATCGCCCCCAGCTGCTCCCTTGGCTGTAGTGCTCCCTGGTGTGCTCCTGTCACCCCCGGCTGCCCCCCTGGCTGTAGCACTCCCAGGGGTGCTCCGGTCACCCCCAGCTGCTCCCCTGGCTGTAGCGCTCCCTGCGGTGCTCCGGTCACCCCCGGCTGCCCCCCTGGCTGTAGCACTCCCAAGGGTGCTCCGGTCACCCCCAGCTGCTCCCCTGGCTGTAGCGCTCCCTGCGGTGCTCCGGTCACCCCCGGCTGCCCCCCTGACTGTAGCACTCCCAGGGGTGCTCCGGTCACCCCCAGCTGCTCCCCTAGCTGTAGCGCTCCCTGGGGTGCTCCGGACACCCCCGGCTGCCCCCCTGGCTGTAGAGCTCCCAGGGGTGCTCCGGTCACCCCCGGCTGCCCCTCTGGCTGCTGCTCTCTCTGGGGTGCTCCAATCGCCCCCAGCTGCTGCCCTGGCCAAGGCGCTCCCTGATGTGCTCCTGTCACCCCCGGCTGCCCCCCTGGCTGTAGCACTCCCAGGGGTGCTCCGGTCACCCCCAGCTGCTCCCCTAGCTGTAGCGCTCCCTGGGGTGCTCCTGTCACCCCCGGCTGCCCCCCTGGCTGTAGCACTCCCAGGGGTGCTCCGGTCACCCCCAGCTGCTCCCCTGGCTGTAGCGCTCCCTGCGGTGCTCCGGTCACCCCCGGCTGCCCCCCTGGCTGTAGCACTCCCAAGGGTGCTCCGGTCACCCCCAGCTGCTCCCCTGGCTGTAGCGCTCCCTGCGGTGCTCCGGTCACCCCCGGCTGCCCCCCTGGCTGTAGCACTCCCAGGGGTGCTCCGGTCACCCCCAGCTGCTCCCCTGGCTGTAGCGCTCCCTGCGGTGCTCCGGTCACCCCCGGCTGCCCCCCTGACTGTAGCACTCCCTGGGGTGCTCCGGTCACCCCCAGCTGCTCCCCTAGCTGTAGCGCTCCCTGGGGTGCTCCGGACACCCCCGGCTGCCCCCCTGGCTGTAGAGCTCCCGGGGGTGCTCCGGTCACCCCCGGCTGCCCCTCTGGCTGCTGCTCTCTCTGGGGTGCTCCAATCGCCCCCAGCTGCTCCCCTGGCCAAGGCGCTCCCTGATGTGCTCCTGTCACCCCCGGCTGCCCCCCTGGCTGTAGCACTCCCAGGGGTGCTCCGGTCACCCCCAGCTGCTCCCCTAGCTGTAGCGCTCCCTGGGGTGCTCCTGTCACCCCCGGCTGCCCCCCTGGCTGTAGCACTCCCAGGGGTGCTCCGGTCACCCCCAGCTGCTCCCCTGGCTGTAGCGCTCCCTGCGGTGCTCCGGTCACCCCCGGCTGCCCCCCTGGCTGTAGCACTCCCAAGGGTGCTCCGGTCACCCCCAGCTGCTCCCCTGGCTGTAGCGCTCCCTGCGGTGCTCCGGTCACCCCCGGCTGCCCCCCTGGCTGTAGCACTCCCAGGGGTGCTCCGGTCACCCCCAGCTGCTCCCCTAGCTGTAGCGCTCCCTGGGGTGCTCCGGTCCCCCCCGGCTGCCCCCCTGGCTGTAGCACTCCCAGGGGTGCTCCGGTCACCCCCAGCTGCTCCCCTGGCTGTAGCGCTCCCTGGGGTGCTCCGGTCACCCCCGGCTGCCCCCCTGGCTGTAGCACTCCCCGGGGTGCTCCGGTCACCCCCGGCTGCCCCCTTGGCTGCTGCTCTCTCTGGCGTGCTCCAATCGCCCCCAGCTGCTCCCCTGGCTGTAGCGCTCCGTGGGGTACTCCTGTCACCCCCGGCTGCCCCCCTGGCTGTAGCACTCCCAGGGGTGCTCCGGTCACCCCCGGCTGCCCCCCTGGCTGTAGCACTCCCAGGGGTGCTCTGGTCACCCCCGGCTGCCCCCCTGGCTGTAGCACTCCCCGGGGTGCTCCGGTCACCCCCGGCTGCCCCCCTGGCTGCTGCTCTCTCTGGGGTGCTCCAATCGCCCCCAGCTGCCCCCCTGGCTGTAGCGCTCCGTGGGGTGCTCCTGTCACCCCTGGCTGCCCCCCTGGCTGTAGCGCTCCCAGGGGTGCTCCGGTCACCCCCGGCTGCCCTCCTGGCTGTATCACTCCCTCGGATGCTCCGGTCACCCCTGGCTGGCCCCCAGCCCTCTGCCCTCCCTGTCGTCGCCCCCTTCGGCGCCGCGCCCGCGGCCTTTCCGCTTGGCCCGTGCCGCCCGGGCTAGTGACCCCCTGCTGATCCTGCACCTGCAACTCCTGCGACTCCCCCATCAGCAACCCCTGTTGTACGCTTCCAGTCAAGGGCTGGTTCGCCTCATGACACCCTTGCCGCCGCCCTTCCTGCGACTGGGGTTGATTCCCGATTTGACTCCCCTCCTGCACGCCTACCGGCAGCTCCCCTCGCGCCTCCTCTTGTGGCTCCTCCATCTCCACCTCCAGCTCATGCAGCTCTTGCTGCCCCCCCGCCTGCAGCTCCTGCTGCCCTCCCGCTTGCAGCTCCTGCTGGCCCTCCTCTTGCAGCTCCTGCTGTCCCCCCGACTGCAGCTCCTGCCGTCCCCCCGCCTGCAGCTTCTGCTGCCCCCCAGCACGCAACTCCTGCTGCTCCCCGGCCCCCTGCTCCACCTCCATCGCCTCATGCGCCTGCCGCCCTCCGGCCGGCTCCTGCTGCCCCCCCACCTGCAGCTCCTGCTGTCCCCCCGCCTGCAGCTCCTGCTGCCCCCCCCGCCTGCAGCTCCTGCTGCCCCCCCGCCTGCAGCTCCTGCTGCCCCCCCGCCTGCAGCTCCTGCTGCCCCCCCGCCTGCCGCTCCTGCTGCCCCCCCGCCTGCAGCTCCTTCTGCCCCCCCGCCTGCAGCTTCTGCTGCACCCCCGGCCACTCGTGCTGTCCTCTGGGCCGCAGCTCCAGCCCCCCTCCGGCCCGCCTCGCGCAGGGTCTTTCCTGCAGGGCTCCGGGCGTGCGCCTCCGTTCCTGTCGTTGGGCCAAACGTGGGCCGCGCAGTGTCGGGATGCCGCGTTCGGTGAGGGCAGAGCCCACCAACGAAGTGCCGAGGGCATGGCGACGCCTGTCGTGTGTCTCCTGCAAACGCTGGCGGTGTGCTTCCCATGCTGCCATCGCCGCATCAGGGGCAATGCTCTGCCTAAGCTCCCCGTGTACCTGTTCGCCCTCTTCTGTGACCACCGCGCCTTGATTGGGGCAATTATTGCTGCCGGCTGCGGGGCTGCCCGGAGTGTCTTCAGAGTGTGCCTCCGTCCTCACCTCCGTCGAAAGTGATCCGCGCCGTTGGCGTTTGCTGGGCGTGCCTAAGAGGCACTGCTCTTGACTGTGGTGTAGGATACGGAGATGTGGGTGTTGTGTGTCTAGTGCCGTCTCTCTGAGCCTCTTGGGGCCAGACTCCGACGGGCGCTTCCATCCCCTGGTTGCTGTCGTCTCCTCCACGTCGCCCTGGAGTTCCCCTGTTCGCCTCGGGTCTCCCACGGAAATTCAGATGGATGGGAGAGCAGAGCAGGCCTTCCCACGTGCTGCCTGTTGTTGGTAGATCTAATGACTTCTCCAATCTTAGGTGCATTCCTGCCTTGACACAAATGTCTCAATCGCTTTGTGACACCCAAAAACAGCATAAACTGTAGTGTGTCCCAATCGCGGCTCGGATTTCAGCGACTGCTACTGTACCGTCACCCCCCGGATATAAGCGCCACCCTAGGATAAGCGCCTGGCGCTTCTAATTGGCATATGGCGCTTATATCCCCTCCTCGATTATAAGCGCACCCCCTGAAAAAACTAGTTTTATTATAAGCGCACGTAAACTTTAAAATTTGAAATGTGTACAAAACGTTGTAATGATTTTTACTTTAGCAGGCAGATATGTTGCAGATTCGGTTCCCTTCACATTCGGACCCTGCGCCGGATGCGGGTCCAGTCAGCAGGAGCTGTCAGGAGCTGGATGTGAGTCAGATTGGGTGTGTCTCCCAGCGCGCGCGAGAATTTCACAGACGACCCCATGTAAATTCGACTCGATTGAAAGGGCAAGCACGAGACCTACAGTTTGGTGTTAAACAATATAAAAAATATGAATGTCATTTTATAAACGCCGGCGCTTATAAATTTACTCGATTATAAGCCCACCCCCTTGAAAAAACCTGTTTTATTATTGCCCCCCATGGGGGTATATCCGGGGGGTGACGGTATTTTTCATTGGTTAGCGTGAAACGCGCTGACGTCGCTAACGAATTGTAAACCGACGCAACATTCATACAAAATCGCATGCGGTTCGGAATGTCAATGCATCTGGACGCCCGCACAGCGAAATTCGCGGGGAAAAAAATCCCGCGCATCACAAACAAAATGCCAGCCGAACGATTGAAGAAACCGGTGTACAGCCATTCGTTTCACCCAATCAAATGCGCAGATTTGTGCATTTCGCCTGGTCGCCTAGTGTCATGATACATTCATCTTTTGTGACGCGAGATTGACAGAATGTTTCGACGCGACTCGGGAAAACGGGGATTGAGACAAGTTTCAAGGCAGGAATGCACCCTTAGATGCACCAACTACTGTACCCTATACTTCACCGTTACTTTCCTTTCCCCACATCCCCCCTTCTTCCCTGCATTCTTTCCCAACCTCAACCAACCATTTCTCACCATTTTGGACGGTAGGTTTGAGGTAGCAGGCCCTCAGTTGCGTACATAGTTAGCTCTAACTGTATGTCAAGTGAACAATCATGATTTTCTACCAAGTAAAGGTTTGCATTACAAAGCTCCGGGAGGTGGAATTTGGGAAAAACAATAACATTTGGCGCATTTATTCATTATTGGGTGTAGACAACACGACGGGTTTCGATAAGGATCTAAACATGTGCTTCAACACTACATTTGTGCCGCCACTCGACTTATTCGCACGCAAAGCAAAACAGCCAATCGGAATCACCACCACTACACGCTCTCGCCAACACAGCCAACCGACTGCCTTTGGCGGCTGTGGTGTCAGAAAGCTGGGTGGGTGGGATCAACGGGCTGCGTCGTGCTGAAGGGCTCGCTCTTGCTGAAGAGCTCAGTGTTGCCTAGAACGTTATGGATGAAAGGATATGGGACGGGTGTGCTCCAGAGTGGGATGGGGATGACGAGGTTGATTGTGCCTCAGGGTTGGGTGGGGATGGAGAGATTTCTGGATAAGGTAATTGGTGCCTGCCTGGGAATACCTCTGGTGGATATCATGATATTTCAACAGCCGCGGAGTCCCTGCAGGCAAAGAAGATCACGAGCTGTTGGCGCTGCTCCGCTCGCTGGTGCTTCGATCGGCGGCGCTCCGCTTGGCGCTGCTCCGCTAGGGGGTGCTTCGCTTGGCGCTGCTCCGCTTGGCGGTGCTTCGCTTGGCGCTGCTCTGCTTGGCGGTGCTTCGCTTGGCGCTGCTCCGCTTGGCGGTGCTTCGCTTGGCGCTGCTCCGCTTGGCGGTGCTTCGCTTGGCGCTGCTCCGCTTGGCGGTGCTTCGCTTGGCGCTGCTCCGCTTGGCGGTGCTTCGCTTGGCGCTGCTCCGCTAGGGGGTGCTTCGCTTGGCGCTGCCCCGCTAGGGGGTGCTTCGCTTGGCGCTGCTCCGCTAGGGGGTGCTTCGCTCGGCGCTGCTCCGCTCGGTTGTGCTTCACTCGGCGGCGCGGGTCCGCTCGGAGGTGCTTCAATGGGCGGCGCGGGTCCGCTCGGTGGTGCTTCGCTCGGCGCTGCTCCGCTTGGTTGTGCTTCAATCGGCGGCGCGGGTGCGCTCGGTGGTGCTTCAGACGGCGGCGCGGGTCCGCTCGGTTGTGCTTCACTCGGCGGCGCGGGACCACTCGGAGGAGCTTCAATGGGTGGCGCGGGTCCGCTCGGAGGTGCTTCGCTCGGCGCTGCTCCGCTTGGTTGTGCTTCAATCGGCGGCGCGGGTGCGCTCGGTGGTGCTTCAGACGGCGGCGCGGGTCCGCTCGGTTGTGCTTCAATCGGCGGCGCGGGTCCGCTCGGAGGTGCTTCAATGGGCGGCGCGGGTCCGCTCGGAGGTGCTTCAATGGGCGGCGCGGGTCCGCTCGGAGGTGCTTCAATGGGCGGCGCGGATCCGCTCGGTTGTGCTTCACTCGGCGGCGCGGGTCCGCTCGGAGGTGCTTCAATCGGCGGCGCGGGTCCGCTCGGTGGTGCTTCGCTCGGCGCTGCTCCGCTTGGTGGTGCTTCGATCGGCGCTGTTTCACTCGGCGGCGCTCCGCTCGGCGGCGCTCCGCTCGGCGGTGCCCCGCTCGGGGGTGCTCCAATCGGAGCCGCCACCAGCGAGCAGGAGAAATCAACAACCACCGATCCTCTGGAGGCACAGGGAGCCACAAGCTTGGATATCTCAGTGTACGCTTTAAGAGAAGGTGCACTATGAATACTCAACAATAGCGTTGTGAAGGTGGAGAGTGAAGGTGGAAAGTGAGGGGGGTACAACAAGTGACGCTGAATGCTTTAGTTTTGAGTTTATTAGAAATGCACCTGGTAGGCCCAATGCAGGCGCATGAAAGCCATGTACCTGGTAGGCCCATGGTAGGCCCGTGGTTAGCCACGCACCTGTTGGGCCCATGGTAGGAAAAGGTCGTGGATCCGTCTGCCGAAAAAGCATAGATAATTGCGGAGGGACCAGACAGCTTCACAGGCACTTGCCCGGTTCCCTCCGTGCGAGAAAATCTGCAACAACAGCAGCACAAAAAAGCCCATGTTTCGATTGAATTGTACTTTTGAGGCGCCTCAAAGGGGAAAAAAACAAATCCCGCCCATAATTCGAATGGATTGTGGCTGGATGTAGATGTCTGTGGTTATTTCCGGGTCACGTTTTGTGCCTTTTCGTTTGGCACTGGGGCATTGATGTTGGAACACGGGGGTGCTTTTGCGTGAGCATTCCAAAGGCAGGCGAGGCTTGCATGAGCAGCAGGATACTCACAGCATGCCCATTCAAGACATGTCCCAATTGTCTCGTCACTTACTTGATAAACTTCCCGTCGGGGTATTTCAGATTTGGCGTCGTTTCTATACCGCCGACCAAGCTTGTCGTGACCATCAAATGTTGATCACCGGGCGAGGTAGACGTCAGCGTGTACAGGCCGGGGGTGTTACTATTGCCGACCACGGCGTCGCTTCCTGCCATTCTGCCGTCCACCGACCACCCCACTGCCGCCCAGCCGGGCTTGGAGGTCTCAAGTGCGAGGTTGAGGACGGTTGAGCTGGAATTTATCCAGTGCAGAACGAGACTGGGGGCGGGTGCATTGAAAGAGAGGACATATACGAAAGAGCAGAGGGGAATCAGGGGAGTGAATCAGGGGAATCAGAGGAGAACAAGAGGATGCAACAGGAGAGCATGAGTGAGCTGGATGATGCACGTTCCAAGCGTGCTGGTCGCGAGTGGCTCTGCGACGTCGTACTGGTTACCACTGGCAGGAACATTTACAGCATCGTTTCAGCTCAACTACCTGGTACGCTTCTACCGTAGAGACTACGGTTGTCGTATGACTCATATCGGATATGATTGAACGCGGTACGAGTCCGAAGACGAACGGACCTGTCGCCAAGGGGAACCATGTATTGGAATCCAGGGAAATTCGACAATGTGCAAGATTCGGCAGCGGCGGGCGTGCCCTCCGCCGCCGCTCTTGGCGCAGAACACGCGCTGATGAAGACCACGGCGAACAGGACCACCGCGAAAGCCGGCGCCATAGACGGGAGCTTTCCAGCCATGACTTATAGTACTTGCGACAGTGTCGCGAACGAAGGAAGCAGTAAATCCGTCGCTGAGATGAAAGTTCAAAGGAAATTTGCACAGCATGAACCGAGAGCTCTGACTGACAGTACTTCTCAGTGATGCTTCCGAGGTGCTAATGAGTAAGCACTCACTGCGAGAGTCAGGTCCGTGTGTCACATGTAACTGTGTTAGCAGGATACCTAAGCATGGATTTGCGTCTGCTATTCTGCGCTTCTTATAGTAGCGTGACGGAGTCCCTATGGTACATCGTTCCTCCTCGCCATGGTGCTACTGGTACATCGTTCCTCCTCGCCATGGTGCTACCATTGTG